ACACAAAGTGCTGCCAGTCATTGTCGCTGTCCGTTGTCCACAGTCCATCGTCCGCGTGTCCTGTTCGATTTTTATGCCAGCACAAAGTTAAGTTGAACATTTTTGCGTGAACCTCGATCGATGCAGCATGCATCCCATATATGCGCCATATATATATATTTTCATGCGATATGTGGGGCAGCATTCCGGCAGCGGGGAGGGTGAGACTGAGAGGGTCCTCCAACGCTGTGTAAATTGAGGCAGGAAATGCCGTTCGAGGGTTCAAAGTTGATGATTTTCAGGTCAAGAGCTGTGCAGCAGCAGCAGCAACAGCAACATCATCGACGGCAGCTTGCCACTTGTTGTTCTTGCTGCCACCGATGGTCAGTAATTTTACTGGCTTTTTTATTTGGTGCTGCTTGCTGCTGCCCTTAAGTGGCGATCAAATTTCTTGATTGAAGCTCCAAGTGCAAGACAATGTGCAGCTGCTTGTCCTTAAACAGGATACTCCAAATGACCCGAAGTCTGGTAGCCAAGGGGACGGGGGCAATGGGATATTGTGGGGACTGCGAAAGTAATTTCTAAAATTGAAGCTAAAATGCAACAAACGAAGGAAGTCCCAGTGCACTATGGGCAAAAAATTCGAAAGTGAGGCATTTTTAAATTTTTTTGTTCTTCAGTATTACATAAATGACCTTCTGTGGTTATTTACAATACTTAAAGGAACCTAAAATCCATTTTCAAAGAATTTTATTTGGCGTTTTTCGCTATTTTTTCCCTTAAGAAATTCGAAAGTTTGAAATAGGGTCACACGTTTACAAAAAGGGACGAAAAACTTTGTAGTTTTCACACCTCGATTTCTTTGGTTATTGTAAGCCAACCAAAAAAGTTTAAATATGGATACAAAGAGTGAAGGATTGTTAAATAAATTATAAACACTGAATGTTTATTATATGTGCTTTTTGTCCATTTGTTTGATGAGTTGTCGCTTAGTTTTTAGATGACAAATAAGAAATGTATTTTTGCTTTCTGTGGAGTGTAAGATGTGAGTATAGGAGAGTATAGGCAAGGTAAAAATAGGAAGTTATAAACAAAACAATTGCTAATCGAACCCTATCAATACTTTTTGCACGTTTTTGCACGTTATACGTAAAACCTCCATGTTGTAGTTGCATTCGAGTTCTGTCACTACACATTGCTTAATGTTTGTATCGGCAACAACCGGCAACAAACCGCTGTGATGGAATTTGTTTTGCAAACTATGAACGGAATCGAATTAAACGATAGTCAGCACACAATAGTCAAAAAAAATTAAGCAGATTGTTGCCTTTTTTAGTCGTAATTTGCCAAAATGTCATAGAATAATAGACCGATTCAAGGAAGAACATTTCCTGCGGCTTTCGTCGAACATGAAAATTTCATTTTTGGAAAAGGGCTTGCCAAGCGACAAACCTGGTCGCAAATGCCTAACTTCTAATGAGGCAGGACCACGATTAAAGCGTAAGGTGGCATCTCAATTGGCGAAAGAAAAAGAAAATTCGATGCCATTAATTTGGCATGGTGCTTCTTTTTGGCAAAAAATATCAAACAAGAAGATACTTCAGTTTTGTTGCGAAAGGCGTTAAATATGAAATATTTATTAACAAATTCATTTTTTTTATATCCTTGCCTTTAAAAGTAAATATGCGGCGTTGGCGGTTGATGGAGACTTGGTCCAATTCAAAATTTAACAAAAACAGAAATTGTATTACAGTTACCAACACAAACAACATTTTCTTTAAATCCTTGCCTTCAAATGTATATCTGCGGCGTGGGCGTAGGATGAAGATGTGGTCCGATTCAAAAAGCAACAAAAACCGAAATTACATCTTAGCCTTAAAAGTATATAACAAAAATTTTAGATTTGTATCTTTAAAACTGGAGTTTATGCCTCAAGGACTGAATATTTGCCCATAGTGCAGTGGCCGGAATAGAAATATGAGACCTTATCCGGCCTGGGAAGTCCCTCAAAGCAGCTTAAAATACAACAAAAAAAGGACGTGCATCGAAAAATGTTCGTTGATGTAATTTTGAATGGCTTGAAGTTACATGGTATTATTACTGGATATACCTAAATTCTTTTAAGAACTTTTATTATAACATAATATTTTATAACATCATTTTTTTCGAAAATTATATTTTATTTTTTAAAAATTTTTTAAAATAATTTTCTTCTTAAAATATTGGATTTATGAGAAGACCGTAAGAAACTTAGTTCGATAAAAAAAAACTTAAACAGAAACGATGGGGGATAGAATCAAAGAGCTTTCAACTTTAACAATATAAACTGATTTATTTTTAAGTCAAAAACTATGTTATTAAGTAAAGGCCTAACATGGCGAAAGTATTTGTTTCTGAGTAGAGTCCCAAGTCCAACTGACGACAACTAGCCAAATCAGAGGGCGCATTCCCTCCTCGAGGTCCACAGCCTCCTGACAATATTCAATGTGTCAAATGCAGGCGAGAGATTCCTTCTCTCCCTTTCACGAATGATGCTCAAACATTTTTGCATACAACAGGAAATTGATTTTTCATCGACAGCAGGGAATATCGGGAAAGCAAGACGCCATGTCCTATGCAAATACTTTCAGACTACAAAAAATTTGCGTCACGCGGCGTTGCCACATTGCGAGAGTCGTGAAAGAAATGACAATTTCTTCAGCTTCTTCTTGCCCCTCATATCCTTCTCGTTCTGGGAAAGCTGTCAAAAAAGCTTCAGCAACAACTTCCGCTACATGGCAGAGAATTGGTGGAACGTGGAGCGGCCAGAGGAGAAGGGGCAGGATGCGACCTGCGCTCAAAAGTTAAGCCATTAGCGAAATGTCCTTTACTTTGCTTATAACGCAATTTTCTGCTTCTTTTCTCGGCCATGTGCCCCCTCGCCCAGCCCCTCCCCTTGCCAACCCCAGCCCCCATTGTTTGTTTCGGACACTTTTTGGCCAGGTCCACTTGGTTCTGGTTTGGGTGCTGAATGACAACTTCACTTGTCAGCGTTTTGAAACTTTTGCGCCTCCCCTCGCCAGCGCTGGCTAACTTTTTCCAGCGCTAATGAAGTCGAAGGATATTTTTTGGCTGTGTGAAAATGTTCCACAAAACCTGACAACATAATTAGTAAATGAAAAACTGTTTTGTGTGATTATCACTTCAGTGGTGGGCTTACAAACTTTAAAATCGTAAAATTAAAACCATGCTTGAACCATGTTTGAATCTGTTTTGTTTATTTTAATTTACTTAATATTCTAATTTTTATTTTCATACTTTATGTGCCATGTGTAGGGCTCTTGTGGTCAAAATTTTCATCTTTTAAAATTTTCCTAATGAAATACCGTTATCAATATTATAGAGATTTTTCACTTTCGAATTAAAGCCCAAAAACTCCTCAAAAATACATTTTCATTTTAAGAATTTAATTTACCTAAACAAAAATGAGAACTAATATACATATATGTAACCAAAAATGTTGTTTATAATTATAAATATATGTAATATTTATTACAAAGATTTTTAATAGTTAAAATTAATGTTTCAATTTTAATATCCTTGCTTACTTTCATGCTTTGTAATTTCAATGATCTTTGCTAGTATTTCTATTCTTGTATTAAACTTATTATAAACATGAATGAATTCATTCAAATGATTTGTGATATGCTATAGAAGGTATGGTTAATTTCCCTCAATATAAGGCCTTCATATTTGTATTATTTCTCACCCTGACGAAATTCGGAGGCGACTCAAAAAACTGTTTACAGAGGCGCTTCTCTGCTGGGCGACTTACAGCCCTGTTGGATAAGTCGCCGCTAACAGTGTCGATGTTAGCCGCTGGCGATACTGTTATTACAGCGCTGTTGGCCGCAGATAATCAGAACGAAACTGGCGTGCAGCGCGTAACTCAGTGGCAGAGCTCCGCTCCCCTGCATTTCTATTTCCCCTCGGCAAAACAGCGGCTGTTGAGTTGGCCAAAACGCGAACGCACTTTTTAACCTTCAAAACAGAGATTCGATGAGTTGTTCTCGCGCTCTCTTCCTCTCTGGCGATGCTGCAGCGACAGCGCTGCCGACGTCGCGACATGCGCAGAAAATGAGCAGAGCTCGCTCGCTGTAAAAAACTCCCACGACACTTGCGCTCTCAACGCACTCTCTTCGCTCTCTGTTCTCGCAACTGAACGAAAGAGGAGGTCAGAGAGAAGCGCAGGCAGAGCATCGACGACTGTTAGGATTTAACATCTATGCATATTTCAATAGAACAAAATGGGCATTTATCTCAAAGGAAGTCGCTTTTTTGTCACTTTTAAATAAGAAAAATGTTAAATATTTAGTTGATAAAGAAATAATTGTAAGTATCCACAAGAAAACATCTCTGCGAAGTAAAAATAAAGGGTTAGTTAGACATCTACTAAGTAACTTTATCTTGTAAATAGTATCTCACTTTTAATAATTTGAAAATATGTGTTTAGCATAAAACCACTATCATAGAAATGTCAAATGTGTTTTTATTTCGAAAAATATCTTAGGTTTATTTATTTCAAAAATCCCCCATCGGGATCGATCATTTCCTATTTGCAATAGTGCCAAATGTTTGCAGGGGATTACAGCTTGGTAACATTTGTGCATGGACTATGCCTTTCGGTTAGCATTGCCATCCTCGGCCTTCGTTGAGTCGGGAGAGTGAGAGAGAGAGCGCTCTCGCTCTCCGCGCTTCGCCGTGTGCTTCATCTGGTTTCTCCCCACAGATTCGGTTCGTCGTTCTGTTTTGCGCTCATTCGTAATTTCAAACTCGTCCCGAATGGTGGTATTCAAAATTCGACGTCGCCGCTCGAGAACTCGCCCCACAGTCCGGAAAATGTGGATATACGAAAAGTAGCGAAAACAGCGCGTTGTTAGTTGGAAAATATTTGGAGAATCGTCGGGAATGAAATCTTGAGACGATGATAGCTGCATTTAACGAATTTTAAGATTCGCAAACAAAACAAAACAAATTTTCCTCGTCGCGTTTCTACCGTTCTTACCCATCGTGTGTGTCCCCGTGTTTTCGAGTGTACGGTCGCCTGAAAGGCCCCAATAAATAATATTCCGGCCTCGGCCGAAGATTGTGATTGAGTTGGGACCAACGACCAACAAAATACCAACTACCCGCAGATTAACCGCCTGGAAATGGCCCAGTAGAAATGTTTTTCAGTGCAGTGCGCCCAGTGTTTCGAGTGCATGAATAGTCGGGAGTAATCGAAAAAAGAAAATCCAAAAATCTCTTCTTCTCTTCCTGCTCCCCCGCGGAGTCCTCCTCCTACTCTTCTTCTGTCCGGCTGTCCGGCTGTCTGGCCAAAAGCCCCCAAAAGCCGCCAAGATTAAGTTCTCAAAGCAGCACGCCCACCACGCGTACCGCCACACGGACAACATCTACGACGGCGGCACGGACACGGACGACGACGAATGTCCGCTGGAGGCGACCGCCATGAATCCCTACGAGTATGAGTCGACGCTCGACTGCCGCGACGCGGGCGGCGGTCCCGCCCACGCCCAGAACCCCCACCCCCATGCCCAAGGACGGACGCTCCCGATGAGCGGACACGGACGGCCGTTGGCGGCGGACCTGGGAGCCCACGGCAGCCAGACGCTGCAGCACCAGAACCAACAGAACCTGCAGGCCGCCCAGGCGGCCGCCGCCGCCCAGTCGTCGCACTACGACTACGAGTACCAGCACCTGGCCCACCGTCCCCCGGACACGGCCAACAACACGGCGCAGAGGACACACGGCAGACAAGGTGAGTGCTGGTGACCCATGACCCCAAACCTCTGGACCGCGAATCAGTCGCCTTAAATCCGAAAAAAGTGTTTTACCAATTGATTAGTTAAATCCGAAGCAGTGACCTTCTCAACGATTTCCAATTCCTAGAAAAATTCCAAAGTTTTATGGCTTGAATTATTAAGAGCTTGTGAAAAGTTATTAATTGCGCTTGTTAAAAGGTGGACAGTTTAATCATTTCTGCTTATAAGTAACAATTTAAGCAATATAAAATTCAAAGAAGTTGGGAAGTTTAAACATTTAAGAATTCTTAGGGCCGTTTTCTCGTCCGTTTGTTACATTTAAAGTAGGGTTAAAACCCTAAAATTGTATCGAAAATCATTGTATGATTGTCTCATTGTATGTGGCCCTTAAAGTGCTTGATATGATATGATAAATGTTGAAGAATAAAGAAAAAAATATTTATTTTCCTTAGCGTTTTTATGCAATAATTTGTTATATGTACATGGACAGCAGAAATGTGATTTCAGCTAATTGGCAAAAGAGAAAACTTACATTGAAACACAATTTAATGAAGGTTTAATATTTGTTATTATTTTTCGTGGTTTATCAGGAAAAGTTAAAGAAAAAATAATTTTCCCAATAAAAACAATTCCAAATATTACCGCAATTGCACTGACAGAAATTTTCAAGTGCTTAAATGGAAGTACAAAAGTGGTTCCTGATATACAAATTAAATGGAAGTAAAAGAAGGAAAATTAGTTAATCCAAAGAGATGTCTGAGTGAATTCCCATGTTATCTGCTAGTCCCCAGTAATTATTCCTTCTGTTTGCACCGTAAAAACGCCGAGAAAGGGGAAGAGCCAGCAACTTGCGACAAGTTTGAACAAATTACGCCGCTTATCGTCGAATGCGGCCAAACATTTTGCATAAATTAAACAAATTAAGGCGACATCCCCCGATGGGAGTGGGACTTGGGACTTCGCCTGACATTGAGCCCGCTCTTGTTTCATATTTCATAATTTCCCTTTTTCCGACTGAGCGCGTTTTTTCACGATTTGTCTGATTAATAAAGCGAGAGCAACAATAGCGAGCGCACAAAGCGCAGTTGAAAAGGATACTCTGTCAGTCAGTCAGGAATTAGGGGAATCCCAGACGATGTCCCCATCCCCGTAGGAAAATGCCTGCGGCTGGAAAAAACGCGAGACCTCTGAGAGGAGTTCGGTTACAGCAGCCTGGCTTTACGCTGATGGAAGAAAGGGTCCTCAAACCATTTATAGTATGAGCTTTATAATTAAAGTCGAGTCCTTTAAGAAAAACAATAATTTAAACACACTATTTCATTTTAGAACCATTTGTATACTAAACAGATAAAAATTCGATATGAAATAGGATAAATTCTACCTTATTCCACATCAATTTCTTGATACCAAAATGATATGAATACTTTGATCTTTAAAAAATATAAAATTGACCAGCACATATCAATCTGATCTTTTGTCAATTTTTTCTCTGTACCAAGATTTAATAAAATTAGTAAAAAAATTCTCTGAATTCTGAAAAGTAAATGTTCTATTATAAATTTAAAAAATCTTGACGCCTTTAATTATAGATTTTGCGAATATCTCGCTATAATTGCCCTTCTATCCAAACTAATTAGCACCTTTTATGGCTCTTCTAGACCTCTCCAATATTTCAATATCCCCACCATTCACCATTTTCCGCCTAACCACAAATACACGCTTCGACATGCTTCAGTTTTATTATTTCCGACTTTGCTTCTTGGCATTCGAACTTACACATAAAACGGAATTTACATAACTTTATTTCTGGCATTTCCTCTTTGAGCTTTTGCTCCTCCGCTTTGCTCTTCTTCTTCTTCATCCTCATCGTAGTCCTCCCACATTTCCTCTTGTTCTTCTTCAGCCTTTCAGCGTTTTTGTGGTGTTATAAAAACAATTGCCAAACAATTGAAGCTTTGAAACGAAATAAAAATCAAATGGAAATCGAACCAGGCGAAGAAGAAGAAAAAGAACGTGTGTGGGTGGGTGGGGTGGTGTGGGATGTTTGCTACCTGGCAGCAAAAGCGAAAAAATTGTAAATTTACAGCAACAAATAAATTTCGTAACTGGCAAACAATAAATTCCTGAGACCCGAAGACTTGAGAGAATTTCTTTTTCTGTTTTGGCGCAAGAAATGAAATTGAATAAAGTGGGCCAAGGGGGGGTTGCGATTGGGGCGGGGCGAAGCTCGTAAATTTTCAACACTTCACCAGGCACCAGCTTTTCCCACTCCCATCTCCCATTCTTATTCCCTGTCATAAAATTGCCAAAAAGCCAAAACAGGAAGGAGCGAAAAGTGTACGCGTGGAAAAGCAGCGGAAAATTCATTCTCCCTCTTTCCCACCCACTTTGATATTCTTGTGTTGATGTGTGAAAATCTGCTCGAAGCTGGCGAACAGAAATTTCAATGTCTCAATGTTTGATTTGTCAGCCGCCAATTAGCCAAATTAGGTCGAAAAAAAAACCGCCCCGCTTCTTGGCCACTCTGTATTATTAAACGCAAACCACAGCCACGTCCAAGTCCAAAAACCCAACTCCAGATGGCCTCCAAATCCAATCACAATCCCCGTCACAATGCAGAAAGGCGAGAAACACGCAACTAATTTCGAAAATGGAAGCTCAGCAAGGTCACCCTCTGAATCGGAATCGGAATCGAAATCGGATTCGTATTGAGATTAGAATTGGTTTGGGATCGGTGTCGGGAATCAGACTGCACAGACATTTCGATTTTCTCACACTGAGTTTTCCAGCAGCGCGAAACCGAACTGAACTGAACAGAACGAAATCGAATGGAATGGATTATTATTTGTTTATGCCGCGCCCGATTAGTTTATGGCCCGCCCTAATGAGGCCACTTTGTTTATTTTTGTCTTGGCTACAATTTTGCAAAATGAAAATCTCCATTCGTACACTTATTTCGAACAGCTTAACACTTGCTTCTGTGGCCCCATAACCAAAACAATTCCGTTTTCCGTATTGTTTTGGTTCGCGTGGAGCAATTACACGGTTGCGGGTGCGGTCGTTTCCCCAAGTGATTCGATCGAATCTTGGCATGGGCATGTTTCAATAATTTTGTACTTGCGCCGTACTCCCACTTGTTTCTCTACGAAGATCACAGCGGATGGCTATTTTCGGATTTGGCAGGGGGCAATATTATAGATGGCCGGAGAAGAGTGTTTTTGAGGGCTTCCTGTGCGTCACAGACGCAGGGGAAGTCTGCTGAGTCAGCTGGAACCTTGGAAAGCATTTGAATGCGGGCATTCGATTGGTAATTTATGGGGAATATTCTTGAGCACGAAAAGTATTACAAAAAAATATAAAATAAAATAGTTTTAATATGTTAATTAAATATTCAACACAAAAATGTTAAGTAAAATCAAAATACCCTTAAACAAAAACTAAATATTGACAAAAACTGTTAAAACCCATCCTTTTTAAAGATAATTGAATACAAAAGCACATCGTCATACCTTCCCTTTAGACGCAATCCACCCCTAAGTTTGCTATTTGCATAGATCTCCACTGAATTTCCGCCATGGCACTCCAGATCCCTGTTGACATTAGCCAACCTAAGCATCCCATCAGTATCTGCGATCCCATTTTCGGACTGGAAGCGGCTTTCGCTCGCTAATCCTCGCTGGCAGCTAAGCCGCTTATCGGCTAATTCCCAAAATCAACCTGAGAAAGGACCTCGGCCGGCGTTAGGCCCTTAACGACACCACAAAGCCCAGCTGTCATATCTGGAGAACCTGTTTTGTGGGGCCAATCGAACATACAAAAAATGTACAATTTCGAATTTGATTTTGGTTTGCGGGACTTCTGGGCGCCCCGCAGGTCCATGCCACATTTGTAAAGTGTCGGCCAGGATTTTTCGTTCACAACTGTCATTGGCAGGAGATGCAGACTAGGCGCCGGCACCGAGCGAAATTCCAACTTATTACTTCCTGACAGCTGTCAAAAAATATGCAAACACCCCAACAGCAACAGCAACAACGTGGCGAAACTATGCGTCGAAATGTGCGCAGAATTATGTAAATCAAAGCGATTTGTAGCAGGCAAAAAAGCTGGAAAAGCGGGAAAAGGAGTGGTAAAAGGTAGAATAGGACAGAAAAATTGACAGCGAGGGGAAATTCGAAATGTCGAGAGCCTGGATGGCGGTGGAATGCTGGGAAAATTACACGTAAACAGCAGGAGGCCAACAACGCCTTCTCCGTTTTATTTTTTGCGAAACGAAAGGCGAACACAAAAGAAGGGACGCACAAAAGACCTTTAAGCCCACACACTCGAGAGGGAAAAGGAGCGTTGGGACTACGGGATATAGGCGATAATGATGCCGCAACGCGCAGACAACCGCAAATGAGCAAGAGAATTTGTTAGGTGTTCAGAGATGTTCGGATGACCTGACCTGGCTAGAAGCCTCTCAGCGGAGTACCTGCTGCGAGCCAACTTCAACAGGCTGCGAATCCCTACATCCTCTGTCCCTTTCTCTCTCTTTTAGCATGCCCTCTCACTCGCACTACGTGCCTGCATCAGCTGCTAGCGTTTTGTCATTTCAGGATTAGTCGGGGAAAACAGGCTGAGGCAGAGGCATTTTCCCCTTTTCCCAGCTCGACCGACATGCCTCATTTGGCCTCGCAGTGAAAGAAGCAAGATGAACTCACTCGTTCATATTATAATTCGATTTTCCTCCCCTGCCAAAGCCGATTATCGAAGCGAGGAGAGTTCGATCCGAACCCAAGAAAATTAATGCTGACTTAGTGTTTTGGGGAACATGGAACCTGGAAATGGAAATCTTTTCAATTCTCCCATTTTTGGTATTCAAAGTCAGACTGGTTTTCAATATACACATATGAATCTATAGATTTCTTCCTTTTTTGTTCGAATGGAAACAATTCAGAAAAATGTTAAGGGGTTTGCAAATGGTTATGCGTTTATCTAATAGCTGATATTGTAATTA